CCCACAATATTAAAATGTTTAAAACAACTTGAAACTACAAAAATAAGACGGGTCCTGTTGTTGTTGTTTAGTCGTGTCCGACTCTTCGTGACCCCATGGACCAGAGCATGCCAGGCACTTCTGTCTTCCACTGCCTCAAGCAGTTTGGTCAGACTCATGCTGGTAGCTTCGAGAACACTGTCCAACCATCTCGTCCTCTGTCGTCCCCTTCTCCTTGTGCCCTCCATCTTTCCCAACATCAGGGTCTTTTCCAGGGAGTCTTCTCTTCTCATGTAGTGGCCAAAGTATTGGAGCCTCAGCCTCAGGATCTGTCCTTCCAGTGAGCACTCAGGGCTGATTTCCCTAAGAATGGATCGGTTTGTTCTTCTTGCAGTCCATGGGACTCTCAAGAGTCTCCTCCAGCACCATAATTCAAAAGCATCAATTCTTTGGTGATCAGCCTTCTTTATGGTCCAGCTCTCACTTCCATACATCACTACTGGGAAAACCATAGCTTTTACTATACGGACCTTTGTTGGCAAGGTGATGTCTCTGCTTTTTAAGATGCTTTTTAAGACGGGTTCTAAAATATTCCAATTATCCCCCCCCCCCCATGTTTCTAGTGATTATTGCTCTTATCTGTAAGCTGCCTTGAGTCCTGTCAGGGAAAAAGGTGGACCATAATTAAATATATATCCTTCAGTATACCTGAAGGAGTGTCTCCACCCTCATCGTTCTGCCTGGACACTGAGGTCCAGCGCCAAGGGCATTCTGGCAGTTCCCTCACTGCGAAAAGTGAAGTTACAGCGAACCAGGCAGAGGGCCTTCTCGGTAGTGGCACCCCCCGATGTAGAATGACCTCCCACCAGATGTCAAAGAAATAAATATCTGATTTTTAGAAAACATCTAAAGGCAGCCCTGTTTAGGAAAGCTTTTAAGATTTGATGAATTGTAGTATTTTAATATTTTGCTGGAAGCAGCCCAGAGTAGCTGGGGAAACCCAGACGGATGGGTGGGGTATAAATAATAAATTATTATTATAGAATAAAGAGGTGTGACCTCAACGCTCTTCAAAAGCTGTACAAGGAAGAGGCCAGGTGCACCTCTCTGGGGAGTGAGTTCCACAACTTTGGGGCTGTCACAGAGAAGGCCCTGTCTTCTGCCAACACACCCTGAGCGTCTGAGCTTCTGGAAAACAAAGAGGGCCTCTTCTGTCAGTCCTAGAACCTGCGAGGGTCTGTAGAGAAGGGAGGTGACTTTCAGGTATTTGAAGCTTGAGTCATTTTCTGGCAGCGGTGGCCAAAATGGACAGTACTGCCCCCTAGTGGGGATTACCTAGTTGGGTGCTACGAGGCAAGGGTATGGCAGTGGGACACTGGAGGTATAAATGAATATCAGACTTTGACAAGCTGGTATCACAAGTTTATCGGTTTTGTTGAATTAAAGTAAATTGTTTTAATTGGAATAAACACGCAATTAATTGCTCCTGTTTTGAATTTCATCATTCCCTGATTAATCTCCCTAAACAAATTGGGCTTGGATTGCTCTGTTCCCGAATTTAGCACATTTGTCCCAATTCAGCTAAAACTATTCACACTCGAGTCCTGTGGCAGTCGTTCATGCTTTAGACGAATCACAACTAAGCTGCCCACCCAGTTTCAGATGTGTTTAAAGGGCTGAATTCAATGTTAGCCCTACTCTGAGTAGACTCATTGCGTGGTTTTATGCTTTTATAGTCTTGTAAGCCACCATGGTATATTTTTTAAAAATATATTTTATTAAATAAAGAATATGATGGAGACAATTACTCTTGAGTGTTATTTAGTTGGATACCATCCAAATATCTGTTCTTGGATTGGGACTGTTAAGCATTTTATAACCACATTTCGGATCGCAAAGAGGCACATTTATTATTGCACAACCGATGCTTTAACCTGGAAAAGGCCTGGTTATGAATTCATTATAAGCAAGGAAGAAAGTCTGTTGTTGCAGACCTCAGAGCTGCGTTTCCACTGTGTTTTCTCAGCATTCCTGAGAGAATAACATTTTAAAAATTGGCACACTCTGTTTCCTGCTTGGGGAAATGATTTTATCCCAGATTCTCTTTAAAGTCTAGGAAATCCCCCTAAGCCTTGTGCAGTGGTACCTCGGGTTAAGAACTTAATTGTTTCTGGCGGTCCGTTCTTAACCTGAAACTGTTCTTAACCTGAAGCACCACTTTAGCTAATGGGGCCACCGCTGCACGATTTCTGTTCTCAACCTGAAGCAAAGTTCTTAACCCGAGGTACTATTTCTGGGTTAGCGGAGTCTGTAACCTGAAGCGTATCTAACCTGAAACATCTGTAACCCGAGGTACCACTGTAATTGTAATGTTCTCAGAGGTTTTCCCACTAGAGGTCACTGTTGCTCCCAAAATATGTACCTCTCTCTCTCTAGGACTCTGAAGTTCATCTCCACCGCCTGATAACACTGCTCAACAATTTTTTACTTTTTGAATGTTGTCTAGATTTCTACAACTGATTTAGGGTATTTTGCACTGCTGAATCAGGAAATGGCATCCGTTTCTCTCCATCAGGTCAGGTTTACTGTAAACTGAATGGTGGGCATTGATAAAGGTAAGTACACGTAAATTGCATGTTGCTTCACCATTTTTCAAACTTCAGGGCTTGAACTTCCGTTTCTTGGAACTCCAGGAATGCTCAGCGGTAGGGAGGTCTCTCTTCAGAGTCCAACAGTAGTCAGCCATCATGACTGCGTCCCAGCGACCCTGATACCTGGTCTCCATCTCTTTCATGTCTTGATGGAATCTCTCCCCCTGCTCGTCACTGATTGAACCCAGGTTCTCAGGAAACCGGTCCATATGTGAAAATAGGTAGTGCATCTTGATGCTCATGTTGCAGCCCAGGTTTCTGAAAGCAGTCAGCATGTTGTCGACAAGTTCTGCGTAGTTTCTGGCCTTATTGTTGCCAAGAAAGTTCTTCACTACCAGAACAAATGCCTTCCACGCTTCCAGTTCCATTTCGTTCATTGACTTTCTGAACTCTGGATCTCTGATGAGCTGACGGATCTGAGGACCATCAAAGATGCCAGCTTTCAACTTCTCCATGGTCAATCCTGGAAAAGCCTGGCACAGTAAGTGAAGCAGTCACCATCCTTGTCCAGAGCCTTGGTGAACTGCTTGATTAAGCCGAGCTTGATGTGCAGCGGTGGGAAGAGTATTCTGTCTCTGTCCACCAGAGGGTCGTTGATGACGTTCCTTTTTTTTGCAAGGCACCAATTCCTCCCGCACAGGCCAGTCCTTCTTTGTGTAATGCTGAGCACGGTCCCTACTATCCCACATGCACAGAAAACATGGGTACTTGGTGAAGCCAGACTGTTGTCCCAACAAAAAGTTCACCATCTTCAGGTCAACACAAATAAACCACTTATGCTGATCATAACCAATTTTCTCCAGCACATACTTCACCGCTTCATAGTTCTCCTTCAGTGTACTCGAGTGAGCCAGGGGTATAGAGGTAAACTGGTTGCCGTTGTGTAGCAGAACACATTTCAGTGATCTCTTGCTGCTGTCAATGAACAGTCTCCAATCTTTGGGTTCGTACTGTGGCACTCCAAGCTTGAGCAGAAGCTGCGCAATATCTGCACAGTACACCAAGTCCCTCTCTTCCAAGAAAAAATGGAGGTACTCTTGATGCCTGTTGCGGAAGAAGCTGATGCGAGCACTGTCAGAGAGGAGGTTTTTTTCCTTCAAATTAGTCATAAGTTGGCGCATGCGTGGGTGGAGTTTCCTATACACTTCGTGGGGCGGCTGCCCCATTAACTTAGTTTTGATCCCCCAACTTTATGCTTTGTCGCACCAATTTATGGAAGATTTCGAGGTTTTATGACTTCAAACTGATCCTTTTTCGACATAATCACCCAGAACTATCGGACCTGAATACTTCTTGTCATTAAAATAATCATTTCCAATCAAAACAATTATTCGACATGGCATTTTACCTCCATCAACTTCTTCTAAAATGCTCCACACAAGCGTACATGTGAACAAAAACGTAAAAAAATGACATGTGGCCATAGCTCAAAAACTTGACCTGATTGAGCAAAACCAATGTGATTTTTGGATTCAGCGCATCAAATTCATCCTAAATCAACTGAAAAAACACAGACAACAAATTTGTTGTTGACCAGTGTAATCTTTGAAGGAGTAATGAAGAGGTGATCATACCAGCTCCTACGGCAAAAAGGGTGGGGTACTATTAAACATTTACCTTTTCTCCCAGGTGGTTGGAGGATGGAGGGAGGCTAACAGATTGAGGTTGAATCCTGATAAGACAGAAGTACTGTTTTTGGGGGACAGGGGGCGGGCAGGTGTGGAGGACTCCCTGGTCCTGAATGGGGTAACTGTGCCCCTGAAGGACCAGGTGCTCAGCCTGGGAGTCATTTTGGACTCACAGCTGTCCGTGGAGGCGCAGGTCAATTCTGTGTCCAGGGCAGCTGTTTACCAGCTCCACCTGGTTACTCAGGCTGAGACCCTACCTGCCCGCAGACTGTCTTGCCAGAGTGGTGCCTGCTCTAGTTATCTCCTGCTTGGACTACAGCCATGCGCTCTACGTGGGGCTACCTTTGAAGGTGACCTGGAAACTTCAATTAATCCAGAATGCGGCAGCTAGACTGGTGACTGGGAGCGGCCGCCGAGACCACATAACACCGGTCCTGAGAGATCTGCATTGGCTCCCAGTACGTTTCCAAGCACAATTCAAAGTGTTGGTGCTGACCTTTAAAGCCCTAAACTGCCTCGGCCCAGTATACCTGAAGGAGCGTCTCCACCCCCATCGTTCAGCCCAGACACTGAGGTCCAGCGCCAAGGGCCTGTTAGGTGGATAAGATTTATTGCTTTACTCTTGTGGTCCGGCACGCTCCCCTGCACCTCTGCAGGTCGTAAAGCAATTAGCAGAATTTGCACAGCGTCCGTGTAGAAAGGGCAGTCAGTAAATAGGTCCCACACGTTTCTTCTTTCCTAATAGCACTTTATTTGCTCAGAAATAGCATATTTACAGTTCATATACACCATCTGATTCAAGTTGCATTTCTGCGTCTCTCTCTCAGCAGCTGCGTAGCAAAGCTGCTTTCACTTTTCACTCAGCTCACAGCATTCCAAGCTGCTTCGTCACGTCCTGGCTTACTTCCCTTGTAAGCGCCTCCTCTCAGCCTCGAGACACAGAAGGTTAACCCTTCACTACACCCAACACCCCCTCTTGTCTCGCGCCTGAGGGGAGAATCGACCCTTGGTCGTCCCAAACCCAGACCTTCACAAAACTCTCCATGTCTTTGGAAGGTGAGTGGCTTCGTGAACCCATCAGCTAGGTTCTTGGCAGAGGGACAATACTTCAGCGCAACTAATCCCTCCTGAACACTCTGGCACACATTCCGAAGCGAATGTCTAGGTGTTTAGTTCTGGCCTTGAACTGACCTGACTCTGCCAAACGCAGGCATGGTTGATTGTCCTCGAAAACACGTATCGGCAGACAATCCACTTCGCAGAGTTCCTGCACCAAACAAGCATAGAACTCTACTTCTCTGCACACCTCTGAAAGAGCACTAAACTCAGCCTCAGTGGATGAGAGCGCTATCAGACTTTGCTTCTTGGACCTCCATCCAACTACTGAGTTCCCAAACTTCACCACTAGGCCAGACACAGACTTGCGATCCTCAAGATTAGCCCAATCCGAGTCCACAAAGCAAGTCAGTTTCACTTCTCCTTGTGCTGGCAACCTAAGACAAAAGTCTTTGGTCTCCTGCAAATACCTCAGAACTCTCTTGATGCCATTCCAGGCTTGCACACTAGGGTTTGATGCTTCCCTGCTGAGCAGATTGACAGCAAACGCTATATCAGGTCTGCTCCACTGGGACAAGTACAACAAACTCCCTAGGGCTGACTGAAACACTTCAGTATTTTCGAACGCAGCGCGTTCTGCTTGCTGGCTGTCCTTCACAAAACTAGTCTCCATAGGACTTCTCACTCCTGCACAATCACTCATCCTGAACTTCTGAAGCAGATGCTCAATTTTACCTCTCTGGCTGAGCAAAAACTTCCATCCTGTGCACGCTCAACATTGACACCTAGATAGGTTTTGACAGCACCAAGCTGTTTAAGCTTGAATCGTTTACCTAGCTCTTTGGCAAACTTCTCCGCCTGTTCATCTGTTTCTGAGACGAAAAGCACGTCATCAACCCAAATCAGCACCAGTTCCTGTGAGTCTCCTGATCCTCTAAGGAACAGGCAACTATCAGCAAGACTCTTCCTGAAACCTAGCTTCTCCAAAGCTTCATTCAGGCACATGTTCCAGTTTCTAGCAGATTGACGTAATCCATAGATGGATTTGTGCAATCTCCACACAACATCCTGCCTTGAGTTCTCAAACCCCGGAGGAGGAATCATGTACAGCTCCTCCTGGAGATCTGAGTTAAGGTAGGCAACATCCACATCAAAGTGGTTTACCTTCCAGCCTCTCTGTGCTGCACAAGCTAAAAGCGTTCTCAGAGTCTCCGCTCGTGACGTTGGCGAATACACCTCCGTGAAGTGTATTCCCTTCCTCTGAGTAAATCCTCGAGCAACTAACCTGGCTTTATACTGCGGCTCTCCAGCGTCAGTGGGTTTCAAGCGGTAAACCCATCTGGAACTCACAGCCTGCTTCCCCGGTGGCAACTCTGTGAGTGAGAACACACCTAGATCTTTCATGGACTTCATCTCTTTGTCCATTGCCCTGTGCCACTTGCCTGCTTCTTCCTCAGGTAAACTCTGAATATCCTCGAAGGATTCAGGTTCACATCTTGCAGAACCTACCCAGACGCCTGAAGCGTCGTACCGATCAGGAGGCCTCCTTGTCCTCGCTGATCTCCTCAGTGTGACTCCTGGTGACCCTGCCGCTTCACTGGGTCCAGCTAAATCATCCTCAACTTCAGTGTCTTCCCCCTCTGACCTGCTGCGCCTCTTGGGCCTTACAGCTGGTCCAGCAGGTGAAGAAGGCTCACTCTTTGGCTCAAACTTGACACTTGCCTGAGGAGGTGTTCTAGGTTCCCCCCTCTGAGGGATCCTGAGCTGTCCCTGCCTTGGACTCTGTCCCTCTGGACCGTGGTCCCCAGCTCCAAGTTCCTCCTCCTCCTCGTCTGAGTCATAGAACTGCTGTGGAAGCACGTCTGGATTAGCGTGCAGACGTTTCCAACCAGCTTGCTCACAGAACTCAGCGCTATTGCTGATAACCAACCTAGACTGGTCTCCACTTGGGTACGCAAACCTCCAGGCCTTTGAGCCAGGCTCATACCCTACAAAGATCATTCTTTTAGATCTTGGCTCACCTTTCTTGCGTAGAGCCTTTGGAATAAGCACCCAAGCCTCACAACCAAACACACGAAGGTAGTGTACCTTGGGCTTCCTTCCATGAAGTAAGAAATACGGTGTATTTCCTACACTAGAGTTGTACACTCTGTTCTCGGTATGGACCACATATCTCCAGGCCTCCGACCAAAACTTCTGGGGTAGCCCTGCGTCCCACAGGATCGCAGACACAGCTTCCTGCACCGTCCTGTTCTTTCTCTCTGCGACCCCATTCTGTTGCGGAGAGTAAGGAGCGGTCAGTCTGTGGCTAATCCCCTTCTCCCTAAAGAAATCCTGTAAAGCAGAACCAGTGAATTCAGCACCTCTGTCACTTTGAAAACCACGAACTTTGGTGGAAAAGGTTACCTCAACTGCGGTGATCCAATCCCTGATCATTTTAGCCGCCTCCCTTTCGTTTTCAGAGAGAAGGTCCAAGCAGACCTCGAAAAATCATCAATCAAAAGCAAAGAATACTTGAACCTCCCAGTGACTCAACAGACATGGGTCCACACAAATCTGCATGAATTAATTCAAAGGGTTGCGTGGTCTGCCTCTCTGACTTTGGATATGAGCATGTCACAACTTTCGCCTGTTTACATGCATTGCAATCTAGAAATTTGTCACAAACATTAAATTTGCACCCTTGTGTCAGCTCTGGTGCTTTCTGGAGAAATCTCCAATTTAAATGAGCGAAGCGTCTGTGCCAAATATGTAAACAACCATTGTGAGGCGCTACATTCACACATTGGCCCTTCGCATCTTCGGTGTCATCCTCTCCTGTGGAAAAGGCACATTTACAGCAAACAAATTATCTTTAGACTGCACTGTGTACACGTGTTTCCCATCCTTGGAAAATTCACATTTGTCACCTGCAAAAGAAACTTGAAAATTATCAATCAATAGATCATGCACACTTAACAAACAGTTAGTTAAACCGGGCACTGCATAAGCTTTGACTTCATGCTTAAGGAAAGGACAAAAGAACAGTCCTGTCTCTGTCAGCTTTTTTCTGCTCCCATCTGCAAACTTAACAAACTTCTCAGTTTTTACTGTCCTGCAATTCCTCAAAAGATCAGGAGATGGCACTAGCGAGTTTGAGGCACCACTGTCAATGATTATAGTGAGAAAGTCTTGTTGTTTACATTCCTGGGTCGCCAGGGCAACAATCTCCTCACTACCCCCCTCCTTGGGGCTTCTGCAGATGTCCTCTCTGGTTGTCACGGCAACAGACTCCCCCCGGCAGGAAGACTTGCCCACGACCTTGACAGCTTCCGTAGATGCAACTCTCTCAGTTGCCATGGAGACTGGACTTGTCTCGGCGTTCCCACACAACTCTGAAGCTGTTATCTCTACTTTCCGCAGGTGGCTGACCTTGAAGCCTCTAGCACTTTTCAGCTTCCCAGGCTCCGACTCACGACGTAAACAACTCTTGGCAGCTTTTGGAGAAAGAGGCGTCTCTGAGCTTTCACTGCTCTCTGCCCCCCCACTGCTCATGGGGTCTCGAGGACGTTTTTCTGCACCCCCTCTGATGGGTAAAGGGCTCTCAACACTTGGCCTCACTCCAGGTTTCTCACACAGACACGTTGCAGCATCCACACAGCTCCCAGGCTCAGCAAAAGCACAAGCAGCATTGCTAGCAACAACAGCAACAGTCCCTTCGCCCCCCTGTGGGGGCTCACAGCACCTCCCAGCTGTGTATCGGCACTCAAGAATGTGGCCGGCGCCATCTTGCCTCTCCCTTTCAGATGCAGCCACTTCTCGGCCCTTGCTTCCCACTCCAGCTCCACAAGCTTCTTGGAGTGCTAGCCAAGCGGCCTCTGGCCTTCTTGCACCCAGGACAACAGGCACCAGATGAGCATCCACACTTTCTGCCAAAAAAGCAAGCACACGCTTCTCTGCTTCATTTTGCTCTGCAGCCCTTTCAGCCTCTGCTTTCCCAGCTGCATTCTGTGTGGGGTGAATTACATTCCACAGCTGCTCCCCCACCAGCAAAAGCTCCACTTGAAAGCTCCACTGCAGCCAATTTTGGCTAGTCAGTCTCTGACATGGCAGTTTAAGCTCAAAGCCATGTTCACAGGGCTGAGCCATTGCCCTCCCTTCTGTTGGCTTTTCCCAAAGGTACTCACTCAGCCAAACTGGGAACTCCGGACGTCATGGCTCTCAGTCAGCCTCCTCCGATCTGCCTCTTTGAAGTCTCCGGCAGTCGATCAAGCTGACGTTCAGCAGATAAAACTTCAAAGCCCTTCCTCACACTTCACGTCGACCCATAACCATGTTAGGTGGATAAGATTTATTGCTTTACTCTTGTGGTCCGGCACGCTCCCCTGCACCTCTGCAGGTCGTAAAGCAATTAGCAGAATTTGCACAGCGTCCGTGTAGAAAGGGCAGTCAGTAAATAGGTCCCACACGTTTCTTCTTTCCTAATAGCACTTTATTTGCTCAAAAATAGCATATTTACAGTCCATCTGATTCAAGTTGCATTTTGCGACCTGTCTCTCTCAGCAGCTGCGTAGCAAAGCTGCTTTCACTTTTCACTCAGCTCACAGCATTCCAAGCTGCTTTCGTCACCTCCGGGCTTACTTCCCTTGTAAGCGCCTCCTCTCAGCCTCGAGACACAGAAGGTTAACCCTTCACTACACCCAACAGGGCCTTCTGGCGGTTCCCTCGCTGCAAGAAGTAAGGTTACAGGGAACCAGGCAGAGGGCCTTCTCGGTAGTGGTGCCCACCCTGTGGAACACCCTCCCTTCAGATGTGAAGGAAATAAGCAGCTATCCTATCTTTAAAAGACATCTGAAGGCAGCCCTGTTCAGGGAAGTTTTTAATATTTAATGCTGTACTGTTTTTAACACTTGATTGGGAGCCACCCAGAGTGGCTGGGGAAACTCAGCCAGATGGGTGGGGTATAAATAATAAATAATAATAATTATTATTATTTCTGCTGAAACCTGGAGAGCTGCTGCCAGTCAGTGTAGCCAATACTGAACTAGATGGGCCAATGGTGTAAACAAGGCAGTTTCCTATGAACTTTCTTCTAAAGTCACTCCAGAAAACTGCAAGATGCATTTTTATTTCCACCTTGCACTCCTCTGACCACACCACTGTTGCAGTGCTCTCCTTGACCTCTGACCTTGCTGCTTTCCCCACCTCCCCAATGCTATTGGATAAACTGCTCTGATATCACAGCAATCTTTTGCCAATGGGTGTGACACAGTCCCATTGGCTGCCATCGCATTAGCTGCCAGCAAGAGCCTGGATAGTTTTAACCCAACTTGGCCAAGAGGGGAAAGGAAGACCTCAAAAGCCTTAGAACAAGAGCTCCAAAATCAACAAACCACTTTGGTTCAAGGGAACCACATAAATATCGCCTTGGTTTCGTGGGCGATTTGTGCCTACAAATTGGTTTGGCAATTTCAGCGACCTTCGAGGCAAAGACAGGAGGTGGAATATGTTGCTTAGGGAGTAGGATCACAATTTCATTTATTTCTTTAATATATTTATATCCCACCTGTTTTTCCAAGGAGCTCAAAGTGGCATTTGTGTCTCTCCTCCTCCTCCTCATTTAATCCCCCCCAATGACCCTGTGAGGTGGGTTAGGCTGAGAGATGAGGACTGGCCCATATATGCACCTAGTGAGCTTCCAGGCTGAGCCCCAGGCCCTAGTCTGACACTGCGGAAGGAAGCCTGAAGTGCTCCAAAATCCCCTGGTACACGACTACGTTGACCCTGGACTTAATGAAGCACAGTGGACCAACACCAGCTGATTACATGGCTCCCCAAATCTCTTTTCTGATGAGAGCAGCTTTTGCATCTCATTTGGAAACCAAGGACCCAGAGTCTGGAGGAAGAATGGGGAGGCACACAATGCCAGATGCTTGAAGTCCAGTGTGAAGTTTCCACAGTCTGTGTTGATTTGAGGAGACGCACAGACATTTCCCCTTACTTTTTAGGTGGAAAAAAGTGCGTCTTATGGAGCGAAAAATACGGTACTTGAGATATTCATTCCTAAGTTAGAGGAGCCTGCAGATCAATAGGGAGACTGTTTATTTGAGTTGGCTTCTTCACTTGCTGCTGCCTGCTCCTTCTGCAGGGAAGAGCCAGTGCCATCTGGACGACGCCATCAGTTGCCAGGGAGCAGGAGATTCTGTAAATCGAAGGAAAGGCTGCTCGTAAGGATTGCCTTCTTAACCAGCTCCAACCTCCATCTGCTGCTCTGTCCCTTTCCCAGAGGGAAGAACCTGGAACTGGTTTTGTGTCCCCAACGGCTCCCCCCCACCCACACCAACACATAACATTCCCATTTTAGCTTTATATGGATTTTCATTGTAAGTTGTTTGGGGAGCCAGCTTTTGCTGGAGAAGATATGAATTAGATAAAGGGTTAGCGGCACTCTGTTGGGGCAGGAGCAGCTGGTACTACATTTCCAGTATGGCAAGCCTTCCAGATCCTTGTATCATCGGGTCCAGGCATCATTCCAGCAACAGTTCCTTGTGAAGTGCATTAGGAGAACAGCACTTCCTAGGTGTGTAGCCTGGGAGCCATTTTGGACTCACAGCTGTCATGGAGGTGCAGGTCAATTCTGTGTCCAGGGCAGCTGTCTACCAGCTCCATCTGGTATGCAGGCTGAGACCTTACCTGCCCGTGGACTGTCTTGCCAGAGTGGTGCATGCTCTAGTTATCTCCTGCTTAGACTAATGCAACACACTCTACGTGGAGCTGTCTTAGAAGGTGACTTGGAAACTGCAATTAATCCAGAATGCGGCAGCTAGACTGGTGACTGGGAGCGGCCGCCGAGACGACATTACACCGGTCTTGAAAGATCTTCATTGGCTCCCAGTGTGTTTCTGAGCACAATTCAAAGTGATGGTGCTGACCTTGAAAGCCCTAAACGGCCTCGGCCCAGTATACCTGAAGGAGCATCTCCATCCCCATCATTTAGCCTGGACACTGAGGTCCAGTTTTCAAAATCTGCATCGGTCCGTCAAGAGGCTGTGTTTTATTATTTGTTTATTTCATTAATTTTATATTCCACTTGATTGTAGAAAAAAACCAAAAACCCTCAAAGCGACTTTCCTGGTCTGCTTGCTAACCCAGAGCCTCATTTAAACCCTTTATCCTTGAATATAAAATGGAAGAATGGTATAAAGATGTGTGGGATATAGCCATTAGTAATAAATTAACATGTGCTGTTAAGGTAAGACGGGGAATATGCAGGATTTCGAGGCGATATGGAAAGTGTTTGTACAATTTGTACTGTCAAATTGAAAGGGGTCAAACCATCGCAAGAGGTGTTGGAATTTTGGGAGCTTGGATAGTTACAATGGAATGGTATTGTGGGTGGGGGTGCATATTATTATTATTATTATTATTATTACTACTACTTTGTTAAATTATACATTTAAAAAATCAAAGCAAGTCCCAGAATTATTTTTTGCTGAAACTAGCTCAAAAAAACCCACCTTAGCACCCGTAACTTATCAAAAGCATGTTTTCCTTCCCTTTTTGCTGCTTCAGTAAAACCAAACCAAACCAAACCAAAAAACCCACCTTTATCCATCCTGACTGCATTGATTAAGAAACTACATCCTGAACATGTCTGGGTGATATTTATACAGTGAAATCCTTCAGGAACCTCCTTGCTAATGTGACACAGTGGGAACGTCTTGGAAAGCTCTGCAAGAGATTCTCCAGTCATGCAGAAGACAAACCGGCCTTAAAATACACGGGAGCTGTTCCCAGGCAAAATGGGACAGATAGCCAGTTGCTAAATATATCCTCTGGGCTGCAGAGAATAAAAACAAGCAACAGTGGCCGAGCCAGAACGAGAGGCCCCAGCTTGCCCTGCCCCATTTCCTCCCTCTCTACTCACTTCCAGACTGTTGCTATTTTTGGGTGGGATTAAATCACATACTGGCAAATTCAGGTTGTGCCATTAAGGGCTACATGCACGCCATGAATCTAAAGCGCACACTCCCTGCAAAGAATCCTGGGAGTTGTAGTTTGTCAAGAGGCAGCAAAGGCTTTTACAATTGGTGGAGGGTGATAGGTCACAGCCCTGGCCATGAGTATAGGTCAGGGATAGCGGGATAGCCAATGTGATGCTGCCAGCATGGACGGTGGTCAAGCATGATGGGAACTGTAGTCCCAACAGCCCCTAGGAGGGCACCATGTTGTTACAGATTGGAAAGCAGCAGTTTGGGTCTCCAATACAGCCTTCCCCCAGCCCTGGTGCCGACTTCCAAACAGCTTGGGCTCATGGGAGTTGTAGTCCGAGCCATCTGGAAGTTGGCACTGTGGGAATGTTGTGGATAGTAGAATAGATTGATTAAATATTATCCTTCCTCACTCACGCTAGTGAGTCCGTAGCAGAATATATTCCCCAGTATATAGAAGGAAGCTAGTTGGTAGATTCATTTGAATATCTTTTGCCTAACTGAGAGATCCGCGCCCTGCTCCTGCTTGCACGCAAGTAGGAGTTGGGAGGCTGCTCCGATAGACAGCATGAAGCCTCCCTTCACAGCTTAGTTGTTGGGGTCAGGGAAGGTGGAGGCAGCCTTAGAGCCCCTGCACCACCATCACATGGGGACTTCCGAGCAGCTCCTGAAACCTGTTAAGTTGTGGGTGAACATATCAGACGACACAGCGATTCTTCAAACAGCTCTTCTTTATTCAGAGGCCACAACAGAACTGAACTGAAGGGCTCAGTCAGCCTGCTTATATAGAGCTCCAGTACAACGTTACTGTAGCAACTTTCTAAAACTATCCAATCACTGAATGTCACTTTCGATCCTTCATTTGCATAACTATCTACAGTATCCCCCTGCTGGCCCAGGGTGAGAACGTCAGTACATAACAAAACCAGCCAGAGCCAACTGCTCCAGGCTGCTGAGACTGCCACTGCTGCGTTTCCCAGGGACATTAGGTGAAATCTGGGGACATTCCGGGGATGGAATTTATCCAGGGACTTATTCGCAAATCCGGGGACTGTCCCCGGGAAACAGAGACGTCTGGTAACCCTACTCTAAGGACATACTGAACTGATTACTCTAGGAATTAAATCTGCGTATGGGTAAAATATGCAATGCGTTTGTGAGAGGGGGATTATTGTTTGTGTTTCATTATGTCTTTTGTGTTCTCACTTTGTATTTTTATGTTGCAAGCGGCCGTGATTTTCGTTTGAAAATACAAATTTAATTAACAACAACAAGAGGGTTTCTGAAGCAAGACACAAGTTTTGTTTGTAGAGACATGCAGGCTGAGTCCCAGGAGAGGGATTCCTGCAGCGTGACATACGAAATGGAAGGCACAATCCTTTGTAAGATGTTGATTGCCATGGAACACATTTTATAAGCACTTGCATTAGCAATTCAGGTAGGTAGCCGTGTTGGTCTGACGCAGTTGGTCGAAATAAAAAATTAAAAAGTAGTCCAGTTGCACCTTAGAGGCTAACTAAGTTTCTTCTAGGAATAAGCAACAAACTTAGTTGGTCTCTAATGTGCTACTGGACTATTTTTTAA